TCGCTGGACTCCCACATAGTCGACTGCAGTTCGAGTCCTGGACCCAGTGGCTTAAACTCATGCTGGGCGCGTGTGCATGCATGCCCAAGATTCCGAGAGGAGAATGGAGGAGAGGGATTGAGGCGTGGCCATCCCCCCTGTGGGGTGATTTCTCGCTGTCTCCCTGTCTCTCTCTGTCTTTCTGGCGAGCACACACGCCCTATAGCAAAAACCTCTCAAAAAAAAAAAAGAATATTCAGCAATGAGAACATTAGGTCATATTTGTTGCAAAATGGTTATCACTAATGTCAGACTTTGTGTATATATTATTTTTTAGATTTATTTTGAAGTGTTTTATATTTCTATTGATTTTTAAAAACTTTTTATCAAATTTTATTTAAATTGGTGAATAAAAATATATTACAGATATAGTTAAAATATCTTTGTCTCCTAACAATACCTTATTTTTTCTCTCATACTCCAGAGATAACTTCTCTACTGGTATGGTAATATAGTCCCATTCAGTTGTACTTATAAGTACACATAAACACATATTTATATGTTAAAAATAATATTTTACCTATATTTTGTGATATGCTACATATCTTCTAGTAGCCTCTTACCATCACATTGTGGCTTTTAATATAGTCTATGTAAATTCATTTATTTCATGCAGTACTTATTAATAATAAAATTACACAATTTACTTAAATCTGTTTCTACATTTTCTGTATGACAATATACATCACTGTGAATGTCTTCTTAAAACACATATGTTGGATTTTTCTAGAGTATGATCTAGAATGGAAGTGCTGAGTGTAAGAATTTCTAGATTTACTAGAGGTGGGATCATTGTTTTCCAAACGGCAATAATAATTTTTTCGTTTGTCCTCTATACTTGAAATTATCTCTTGCTTCAAGAGCAAGGATTCTTTTTTTTTTTTTTTTACCTAACACCTTTTCTTTGGTTATGGCCTATACCTCTCACCCCTTCTGTGGCCTACCTATTCAAGCCTGTGGTCCATTTACAACCTACTGGATTTTTGTTTTTTCTTTATTGCTGGGTTGGATGTTTCCGTATTCTGAATACTAACCCATTCTTTAGAATGTGCACAGTTGATATGGTTTCCACTTCATGACTTGTTTTTTCTTTCCCTCTTTTTCATATAATGTTTGAAATTTAACAGTGAAATATTGCCTTATTTTCTGTTATATCTTGTGAATTTCATAACTGGTTTTAAAAATAAATTCCTATCCTAATAACATAAATATTTTCTTCTAAAGTCTGAAATATTTTGGAATTATTTTTGTATTATTTGTATATATATATATTTTTAACTATATCTGTAATATATTTTTATTCACCGATTTAAATAAAATTTGATAAAGTTTTTTTAAAAATCAACAGAAATATAAAACACTTCAAAATAAATCCAAAAATATCATGTATAATATATATATATAATATATATCCAATTGCCCCAACATTATTTACTAAATAATAAGT